TAGTAAGTTACTAAGAACCACTTTTAATTTAATTATAGACATAGAAAAGTTAAATAGAATAACAAAGACACTAGAATAGAAAGAACAAATTTACTAGAAAATTCGTATCAGATCATAATTTACAGTTTTGGTCTAAATATGATTACATCAGGTGAATACATATTTGTCCTAAACTACTATATATATATATATATATATTTATGTAACTCACCTTTTTCAAAGCTCATTCTAATAGCTTCAACTTCATCACTAAATCCTGAGATTCTATACAGCCCTTCAGCCTCTAAGCCTGTTTTTGTTTATTAGATAAGAATTAGTTTTCTGAATGTCTAAAATATAACTTATTATGAAAGGTCCAAGTTTCAAATTTGTTTTCAATTACCTGTTATGATCAGTACAATAATTTTAATCATAATTCCTAAAGAAATAAAACAAATAATATCCTCATTCTTTAAATATTTTAAAAACTTCCAGTGTGATATACAAATTTTTCCTCCATGACTGTGATTCAACAAAGATTAATAATTTGTAAGTAATTTGCATCTACTAATTACATCTCACACTTAATAATTTAATGACAAATTAAATTTCACTTTCTCATACCAAAATCTGATTTATTCCTTCACATCAAACATTTTCCCACAAATGGACTTTTAAATAAAATAAAACTTTCCATCAAGGACTTCTATTCCCTATTTTCAAATTAATGATTTTAGAAACAAACTATTTTTGTTATCAATCCCTTTTTATCCTTTGTTAATTTTAAATTATGTCTTATTAATTTTGAAAGAAAATTTCAAAAGATAACAAAAAAAATGCTTCCTGCAAAGAATGTCTTTGAAGCATATACAGACATATATAAAACTATTTTCAACCAAAGCACAATTACAAACACAAATAAATTAGGATAACTGTATGCGTAAAAGAACAACACAAATTTGTTTATAAATTTAAAGAAACATACATAAAGCAAACTATGCTTTAAAGAACAATAAGCAAAAGCAGTCTACAGCTGAACAAAAATACAGACTACATATTAAAAATTACACAAAACTATAACTATGATAAAATAGAACTCTCAACCTCTGTTTTCAATCTCCTTGATACACATATCCACAACAAATGGGCGAGGGGTATTGTGGGCTTTGACTAATGTAGTGAGATCAATTCCAAAGACTCTCTTGATGTACTTCAAATCTGGTAGGCAATCATTTGGGATCTTTTCAGAACATTTTCGATGGGCACTAAAACCACAATCTGAAAAAAAAAATATATTAAGTATAATATAAGAATATAGCTTTTGTGGTAATTGCTTCTCGTACAAGCTAACACTAGGAATTTCTTGTGCATATGTATAAATGTCTGTAATCAAAATATGAAGGATAAAATGACGAAGTGATTAGTGATTCTGAAAAACAGAATTATATCACTTCGCACAATGTGAAGTGTAAGATTATATAATTTTAAGCACTACCGTTTAATCATCAAGTTCCCTTAAGCACTGCTTTGTTACTGCATAACACCTGGAAACACTGCTATAAGTTTATTCAACCATACTCAGACATCTAGGATTTTTATATGGCAGGGGTTTGAAAAAGGGGAAGAAAAAATTAACACTTTGTGAGAGTCACAATATAGAGAATTAAAAAATCTGAAAAGATTTTATCTCAGATGGGGGGTGGGGGTCTGAGTTCTGCAATGGAGGGTAGGCTATCCCCTTCACATGCACACAAGTTCCACCCTAATGAATATACCCTGCAGAAAATCAATAATTCATCAATGATACTTCATTTGCTACTCCCTCTACAATAAACTCCAGTTTCATCGAATCACAGTTCTTCCATACTGCTTGGGAGATAAAGCCAGAGATACAAACAGGCCTCTGTATAATAGTGGAATGCAAAGAAATTGTAGGCTTTGATCTAAAGGACCTTACATCAAATCCTACAAGTTCCTGTATAATTTATCAATCACTTTCCATTAAGAATGGTCTCCTATGCTTTGTTTTTGTTTTATTACTGACACAGGAAAAAAGTGAAAAATGTGAATAATATACATATGCCAGAATTGTAAGCATAATTGATTTAATTTATAACACATTTTTTATGTAAAGAAAATGTGCATTTTTGCATGCACACATCTTATCCAGAGCACTTCACATTCTTAGTCACATGCTGAGAACCCATGAAGCATAGACAGTAAGTACTGTCCTCCCAACTCTGTTGCAAGTTACACATTTGAGGCATGCTCAATAAAAGAACAATAATAAAAAAAACATGATTCTACTTCAAAATCTAATTTCTGTCCAAGAAAGTTCCCATGTTGGCAATAGACTGAAGCAGTTCACTACTAGCCTAAACAACCTCCCGAGGAATTAAAGTGTAGATGTGGAAGTTTTTAAAAGGTCAGGATACTCTGTAAAACTTCAAAACCCATAATATGTAGCAAGAATATTGTTGAATTTCCCACAGAATTGAATGACTTTTGTGTTTAAAATGAGTAATGAGAAACGTCGTTTGTGAAAAATGAGAGTAGGTTTATGAGCTCTATCCACAAGATTTGGTAGTGATGAACTAATGCTAGTGTCTAATAAGCAGATAGTAGTAAATATTGTAATATAGCTCGTTTGTAATATTGGTATTTGGGAATGGAAAGTTTAGAACTTCAAAGTTGAAAGTAGCAGTTTTATTAAAAACTTTAAACTTGAATGTTCAATTAATGATGTTGATATCTAAATCCACATACTGTACTTTGTTTCCAGTAGAAGAGCTTTTTTCCTAGAGTGAGTAGTGGATAGGTTTGTTCCACTCTGTTTAGAAAACCTTGACAATTTAGCATAAGAACATCATCTATATATCTGTAAGCACAGCTGAAGTGCAAATGTAATGTATGAAAATTCTAATCCTAATAAATACAGATCTTGTCTGTTGGAAGACATGATGGACAAAAATGTATCATCAAGTAAAAAAATACATTGCGTACAAGTAATAGTGGTAATATTTGTGAGTGGCATTGTCCTAGATGGTTCTGTGTTTAATAATGCACAGTAGTAGTTTTTAATTCTATCAATAGGAGAACTAGTTCAAAGGTTACCGAGATCAAATTTCACTATTGTAACAACTTCAAAACCATAAGTTCTCTTTTTGATAACACTACAGTTTTTCTTTAAATGTTCTTTAACATATTTCAGAAAAATACTTATCAGAAATGATAAATCCTTTCTTGTAGAATTTTAAACCCCAGAAATAACTCTGTAATTGTATGGTGCTTTACGTAATTTTGGAATCCAA